CCCCAAAACCCCAAAACCCCAAAACCCCAAAACCCCTATTTATAAAATTATGAATTTTATTATCTACCAAAAGGACTTCTCTTAAGACTGTAATACACTGAAGATTTCCTCATTATCCTATTGCTCTCGCTCCTTCAGCTTGAGATAGAGCTCTTACGATCAAAATTATGATGGAAAGGCTTTTTGATTGAAACAACACTACCGCGAAGACCGTTCCTCTTTTCAAAACTCTTAATATTTTCCTTACTCATTGTCTTTTTGAGATTCTTTCCCATCAGAGATTTTCTTGATTCAGCTGACATTGCTTGCATGAGACCTACATAAATAAGGATCGAAAAACTTACATGATATAGTTTCAACATCAGAGAGTCGGAATATCTCAACATACTTCTGATTACCCCCACTCGAGATCAGCTTCTCAAGCGCTCATTTAAATTTATTCTTCGCTGCATGTCTTCTTCCTTCTTCTTTCTTAATTTTCGGGTTGACAATCTAGAAAGTATAAATTCCAAAATCTCAAAAAATCCAAAATTTCTATTCCAAGTCTCTTTCCTTTCTCCCACTCCAAAAGGTACTTACCGAATAAACTCTCTGTAACTTCTTCTGTGTCTCCTGAGGCAAATGCTTAATACTATATCTCTTATTAATATCCTTTATAATATCCATCACTGAGGAATCCTTCCTTTTCACTTTCATTCTGTTACTTTTGTTCGTGCTTGTGCCTAGAGAGTAAGGTGACTTAGGGGGGGAAACTTGGAGATTAGAGGAATTTAATGGGTATTTGGGTGATTTTTGGAGTGAGAAAGTGCATTTGGGAGAGTTTAAGAGTTGAGTAGGTAACATAAGCTTACTTCTTCGTGATGGAGACTGTCTTTTTAAGCGAGATAGGGAGCTACTCCGGACAGCTATCTTACGGGAGTTGTATCGGTAAGTACGCGAGCTACTGCGAGAGTTGAGCGACTCGTCAATGCTCTGGTTTAAACTCTGCAAGCGTTTGTTTATTTTGCGGAAACTTGCATGAGAGGATTTTGATTTTAGACTACTTCTACTTTTCTTACTTTTCCTACTGGAAATACTTGAAGATTTTCGGTTTAAAACATTTGTTTTCTTGATTGTTTTAAGGCTCTTAAAGCCAGTTGAAGGGTAAAAATGAGAATTTTTTAATTTTTTCTGCTGCTTTAGTTGGTACAGATTTGTATTAGAGACTATTGGTGTCAAGTCGCACTTGAGCATCCTTGATCTGTTCTGGGACGCCCTTCTTGATCCATATCCAAACTTATGCTTTTCTAAGGCTTGGGAGATCCTTTTTGTATTTGTCATTACCAGTGGTCTTGGGCTTGGCTTGAATCTCCTCACTTTTTGTGGTTGAGGACTAAAAGTTTCGAAAATGTTCAAATTGAGATTCTTATGATGAAGCTTTTTATTTCCGATTGTGATCTTGAACAATTTTATTTCAATCTATTTGATAATTCTGTAAACTACCTCTCAATTTCGTTTCTGATGGTCAAAGACTGGAGCCTCTGAGAATTAGTCTTGCGCTTAAGGAAAGTCTTCACAAAGGAATGGATAGGTTGTCTCTTCTTCACTTTTCTAAACGCAGAGTATGTCAAAGGAGCTAATGAACTCACTTACTTATAGGGATCAGACTGAGTAGCCGGCTTCTTCACAAATATGCTATTACGCCTCAGTGGTTGTATGTTTTTGTTACTATTTTTGTTTTGGGAAAATCTATGAATAGTTAGAGTGTATGATTATTGTTACTGCTAGGATCTTATTATGAAAATTGTAAAACTTAAATAATTTCTTAAAAACTTTGTCCCCATAGTAGTCAAAAGTTAACGCCAAGGCTTAAAATCAGGAATTAGGTTTTATGTAGAAAATTTATCTTAGAATTTAAGGCTGGAAGTTATAAAACTTGGCTAATAATTTTGAAACTTTCTAAGTATGAATACCTACTTTTATCCTGCTGAATTTACTCTTAAGTGTAGGATTAGGCTTGGGGCTCAGCACTTTTAATACTGCTTTTGAAGATCTTTCATAGTGCGTCCGTCCAGCATATGAGAGTTATTAATGAAGCTGTAGAGCATATCACCTTTTCTCAGTTTCATAAGATCAATGAGGTCTTTTCTAACATCGGTTGGTGCGTCGTAGTCCATCTCAGGAAAATAATTATTATATTAATATAGTTTTACTGAATGGGGTTTTGGGGTTTTGGGGTTTTGGGGTTTTGGGGTTTTGGGGTTTTGGGG